GAACACATTGAAAACAGTCAGTTGTTCCCTAAACAGCGTGTACGTTTGCTTTGTGTGCATAGAGCTGATGAAGTAAGATTATCGGGGATGTGAAAATAATTTTAAAATTATTCTAGAGGCAATCCATACATCAGTTTCCACTTTACCCTTAATTAAGAGGAGCTATAGAACGTTACTGGTCCTTCATGCTTACACTGTGCTGGCCAGTTGTTAAACTGCTCTACAAAGGCTATCTCATTTGAGCATTGCAACGGTGAGCTTGGTAAATACCAGGTTATTGTCACCAGTATCTCTATTTGAGTTATACACAAGTTGACTAAAATTACATAATGAGAAAGAGGTAAAGTAAGAGTGTGAACCAAAGTAATCTAACAGAATTTGCTGGAAGAGTGTCAAAGTATTTCAAAATAAAGTCGACTCCAGAATAATCTACATACCACAGAACATATGTGAAGAAAGTAGACAGAGAAGTTACCAAACCCAAACCAACCAAACCCACAGCCATGGAGTCAAACCTGAGTGACATCGGCCCTGTAAAGGGCTTTCCAGACTAAATGTTTAAGGGAATAGACAGCTTCATTTTCCTCCCACGGAGCAGCTGTTGGCTTCAACTGTATCAGCAGCTGTGAAGGGAAAGTTTTTAAAATAATCATCCCATCCATGTCTCTGTAACTCCCACCATATGATTGGGTGGCATCATGCAAATTCCTGGGACCATCAAAGGGAAAAACACCATTAGTGCAGCATGCTTCAAATCCTTCCCTGCTCAAAGTGGCAGGGTCAGTGGAGGCCAGGCCACACCCAAACCAGAGATGTTGGCAAGGAGATTTTGATACAGAACAGAGACTGTGAAGCAGGGTAGCAGGTGGGATTCCTGAACCACGGAGACTAGGGCCCCAGGGACCATGTAGCTCAGAGGCTGAGGATCAGAGACATGGAGAGACTTGTCCTCTGGCTTAGGGGATGCATAACTGTTGGTTAGTGACTGTAATCATATTGTTTATGATTTCCTGGTTTCAAATAGTTAACGTTCGTAATAAACCCCCATAACTGTGACTGTTTGGTGAGTCCTTTAGGCCATTGCAATGAATTACCAATCCAGCAGAATAAAGTGGAGTGGGAAAAATAATTGGTGTCCAATTCAACACATTATCACCTAGTCGATTTCTACTGAAGTTACCCCACTGAACAGGGCAGAGAGCCTCATCTCTCTTCCTTGGAGTGGTTGGTGGCTTAGAACTGCTGAGCTCACAGTTAGCAGCTCAACATGAAGCCCGCTATGCCACCAGGGCTCACAGGTGGTGTAAGAATAGGGTAAAAGAGGGGTGGAAGGTGTGTTGTCTGCCTCGTGGCAATCAGCCGTGGTCCAATGTGGAGATGGATTCTCCTTCTCCCTTGCATAGACAGAGGTCAGAAATGGCCTCAAATTCCATTCTGACAGCAGTGCCATAGGGACACCATAGCAACTAGAAAGAAAATGTGGGGAAGCAAAAGGAGCACGTGACAAAATAGTTTCACTCTATTTATTACACTTCCTTGAAAACTCTTACTGGCTCTAAATGCTTTCTTTTCACTTTTCTAGGCTATGTTGTTGTTGCTAGGCACCTTGAAATTCATTCCATCTGCTAGCCCTGTGGCCCCACGTGCTACTGCAGGAAGCTATCTGGTCCTGCACTGTTCCCACGATTTCCATTACATTTGAGCTCATTGTTGCAGTCAGCATGTCAATCTAGCTTGCTTCCTCTTCCTCACAGAGCACCTACCATACCAAGCATGGCAGTCTTCCCTGGGGATTGGACCCACCTGAAACCATGTCCAAAGTCCATTCTGAAGGGTCTCCCCATTCTAGCTTCTAAGGATCATTTGGGCTATATGTGTCTCTACAAAATTCATTTGGTTATGAAATGATACATTCCTTTCCCCCTCTATTGATATGAACACTTTGGTTTTATTTATTTCATATTTAAATGCGTCAATCAAGTCTATTCAGATTGTTCCCCCTCGCTGTGGCATCATTGATAATGGTCTTGTCCTAGAAGCTCTTTCAGTCCTCTGAGTTTTTGCACATACCCGCCATGTCTGATGTGTTTGTATACAAGAGATCTTTCCTAATTAAAACTATAAAGTGATAATAGTCTTTGAAGTTCCATACCTGTTTTTTAGGACTCTTTATTCCTTAGCCCTTTCTGCTTTGTCCAGTCTTTTCTCATTCTGTTTTTAGAGCCATGTGAAGAGGTGAGCTGATAAAATATTACATCACATATTAGGAACTAATATGTTGCTCTTCCAAACAGTATTTGTACTTTGAAAACAGTCAATATGGAGAAAGCAACGCTTCTAAGCAAAAAAGGGAATTCTGAATTTGTCATTTCAGGTCCCAATTGGGTATGCCAACTTGAGATGGGTTCTCTTCAGTACCCTCAGATGTCCTGCATTGGGGTGGGGGTGGGGGATGGGGTGTATATGTAAACTCAAATCATAGTCATGTTCATGATATTGTTAGAATGTAGGTTATTTTTAAAAAATCAACAGACAGTGCACTCTGCACTTCCTTGTTCATTTACTAATATGCCATGCACTAGCTGTGTGCCACATTCTTATTTGGGGCTCACTTGCTGTTGAATTGTGGAATCTGTGAAAATTAAAACAATAAAAAATGTCTCCTCTTTTTAGCACTGTTTGCATTTGTGAAAATTAATTTGTTTCTCATTATTTTGTTCCCCTAGTAATAACATAGGTTTTGCTATGTAAAGGACCAAGAACTAACTAGCTTCTATTTTTTATTACAATTCACATAATTACAACTCTTCCAAATGTTTGCTTGCTTAAATAAACATTTCCAGTTTAGTAAGTGATTCAAGCCAAAGAAACTGCAACAAACTCTAGGAAGAAATTAAGACTGAATTTAACTAGCGTTCATATGATTTTACCAATACAAAATTAACCTAGTATTCTATAATTAATAAATTTCAGTTGAAAGATGAACATTTTAGAGTAGTATTTTCACATATTGTACTGTCATCCTATACAAGTTAAGGGTGTCTCATTTCCTTGGTTTTACCATCTAATGATTTTGCTTGCTAAAACATTATTTATGTAAAAATATAATTGTTTTCTTTTGAACTACAAAGTACCAGAAATGTATATTCCAAAGGTTTAAACGGATGTCTCAGTTCAGATGGCTTCTCATTTGTCTTAGTACACAGCAATTTCTGTCTGTGAAACTTTATTGATTTCATAACTGGACAATAAAATTAATCCACTAATCACTTGTTAAGAACTCAGGCCTTACCTTACCCCTTCTTTTAGTGCCTGGAGATCCTAGTGAAGCTGCAGTCAAAGGAAAACACAGTCTTTGCCCCGAGGGAGCTTACATTTCTGTTGGTAAGCATATGTGCGCACAGGACTAAAGAGTACACAGGAGATAGAGGACTTCAGAATGAAGGTCATGAATGTGACGATGAAGCTAAAAGGGCTCTTGAAGACTCCACAGAGTTTTCAGAAGTTGTTAGAGTTGGTAATTTGTAAGCATAGGTGATGAGCCCATGACTGTTCATTTTATCTGCCTTTCCGAAATTTAATGATGTACTTAAAGCTATAACAAAGATAATGGGAAAATACAGCTAAAGAATGAAGAGGCAGGGAAACAATGCTAAACAAGGCTTTAGAATTTCCCTTGTCCTTTGGTTCACTCAAGTCACGTCACACAGTAGTGCTTGGTTCCCTCAGAGGTTAACCTGTAATGCTTGAGGCAATAAGCAATTACAATTATTTTGCTGGATAACATTAGCATCATTAATCCACAATCAGTTATTTCACATATCATACACAAAGCCAGAGTTCCTAAGTTGAGCCATAGTTCTTAAATCTCATTAATTCAGCAATATTTTAGTGCCTACTTATTTAACACAATGTTATAAATGATCCATTGCAAAGGACGTAAGCGTGAACACATCGATTTAATGTTCTCATTGTGTTTCACTATAGTGTTAAGTGTATACAGTTTATTCATAGTTGGAGAAATTTCATCTTAATTTGCAAACATAATTGCCATTCTAAATATCTTTTTGTTTTAACTTAAGTGCTTATTGGCAGTAGAAATGTCCTCAAAACACTAATAAAGTATTTAACATAGTATCATTTATTGGAAAAAAAACCATACAGCTATCTGAAACTATTTAGCAGAAGAAAAATATTAAAAGGAAAAGTAAGTTAAATCTAACCTTTGAGATTTAAAATGTAACTATTATTCAGTATAAATTCAACACAACATATGCTTGATTAAACTTACACATTTAAATATGCTGATGAGAATTTTGAAATAATAACGGCACCGTGGAAATCCAGGAAAAGAACCAGAGCCCTGGCGTAACAAACTGGCGCTAACAAGCTAGTCCCTTCATTTTATCGAAAAATAAAAATCCATTTTAGCTCAACTGATGGAAAACTAATACAAATTAGAATGTAATCCAATCAAATATTGTAAAGATTCCCTAGGTAAATGATTCCAGTTTCTACCCAGAGCTGAACTTTTGCCCTACTGAAAAATTTGAATTCCAGTTCTTTCATTTCAATATACGCAATGTGGGTTCAGATGAATGAAATCACCATTCATTGTTTATTGAACTTCAACTGAATATGTGTCAGTGATGTTATCCATATACAAATATATGGAAGATTTATCTTTGCCTTACTCTCATCCACTTCCAATTAGACATGAACACAGAATACTTTAATTTTGAATTGACATATTTTATATTAAAATTTCAAGTCATAGCATCTTGCTTTTTCCATGTATAACAACATACATATATTATATATATTATGATTATCCACCGAAGAACTTTTTATATCTGATTTGAAAAAAGTTCTCATCATTCTGTGGTAGCTTTTCTCATAAGCTGAAGTAGAAAATGCCAGACGCATTGCTTTTTAAAAGTAAGCATTAAGAAAACTAATTAAACAGGTTAGTCACAAAGGGGACATTGTAGGAAAGGAAATAGTTTGGGATTGAACCCTATGATTTTATTGTTTTCACAGAAAATGCAATAACTCCTCATTGACATCAACTACCCAGTCGCAAGAAGAGTATACTTTCTGCTTTGTTGAGACACAGACGAAGCAATTAGTAAGAAGTAGTCACCAACCAAGAAGCGAATGTATTGGGGGTAAAATTTTTCCATTTTAAATATCTATTGAATGGCCCTGATCTTTGAAAGGCACATTAAAAAAAAGTTTTATGATAAAGAATGTTCAGTCAAAAGAATCCTTTTATCACAGATCATTCTGTCACCATCTTTCAATCATTAATTAGAGCAAACAAATAATAATAGATCATGAAAAATATCATAGACAATTCCATACAGTCTTAAGTACAGACTAAATTAATTCATTGTTCTTAAAAGTATACATTTTATTGACAGATATGTTATTATAAAGTCTTTAAAATAAAAATTCATGTTTGGTGAAAAGTTAGTACAGTTGTAATTCATATTTTATCATCTTTTAAAATATAAAAGTCATGGGATTGTTTTAACATTTGTAACATGATGTAACGTTCTAGCTGGATTGTAATTCTGATTATTATATTTACCATAATTCATTGCCATGCCAAAGTTGATTCTGTGATATATGTGACATGAAATATCATTAGGCTTATTCTATTGCATGACATTGTGGTGTACCATGCATCTTTGAACTCTCTCAATGCAAATTTAATGACAGACCAATCTTCTGACTTACTAAGGACTGTGAAACACTGGAACCAGGAAACATTTTAAATCAGTGATACTGAATATATTGTAATTCATGATTGAACAAAAAAGAAATAATGGGAAAAACTAAAAGAACCAAAAGCAAAGAAAAACAAAACAAAACAAAAAAGCAGGGCTAGAGATGTAAGAGAAGAGTCAATAGCAGAGAGAGAGAATAAAAGACTTAATTTGAAAATACTGCATAGTCAATGAGTATTTCATATAAATCCTATAAATGTGACTGGAAGTTTTCCCTCACTTTTGGGTCCATTGAAAAGTAGTAATATTAGACATTAGTGGCACTTCTGGCTACTTCAGTGAATTTTGTCATATCTAAGATGCATTATTATTTTATGGATAACTATACAGAAATGCTGCCAATTGCAATTAAATTAGGTCTTGACTGTAGGTTGCATCCCAATTGCAGAGGCCAGAATGTGGCAAATCAAGCATCTTAGAACTGATGAAATAGAGTAATGACCCTAATTAACTAGGATCAAGTACTGACACTAGGAGAATACGCGATAAAATCTTTCTCCCAGAGAATTAAAAGTTTTATTGTCTGATGCTTTCCTACATCTAAACATTATTATAGCTTAAATATGTTAGTTGAAAGGTGAAGGGGAATATGCTGATCATCTAAATTCATCATAAATAAAAAAAATTAGGAAAAAAGAAAACAGTTGATAACAGATGGATGCTTTAAAAGATGTCATGACTATTAATATCAAATATGTTACTGAACACACTTTACATTTCATGTATCCTCGCTGTTTAAAAGTCCCTGCATTTTATCCATTTACTTTACTTTAAAGCACCTGAACATTTGAATTGAAGTGAAAAACCTTCATTTTAATTGTTGGTTGGTTTGCACAAGGATCAATTATCATTTTGGTAAAACAGTTGCTTTGCCCATCCTCTTCTAATTGCCTCTTTGTTCTTCACATTCATCTGCAAGTTTTCAAAAATCTAATCAAAGTTACTCTTTGAAGTTCCAGCCAGTTCTCATGAACTCCTGAAGCACTGTGTGTTCTTACTACGCTTAAGGTTAAGGAAACACTTTAATGCTTTATGAAGGATTACTAGTAGAATAGAAACTTTCATTGACGGCAATTTCTTTAGGAAATTATTTAGGAGAAAAGGAGACTTGGCTGTTTCCCTGGAAAGTCCACAAATGTATTTTCAATATTCTGAGAATAGATTTTGTAGTTTCTTGCAATAGTCTCACTCATGAGTGAGGACACACAAAGCTAGAGAGGAGGAGAGAGAGACAACAGAGAAGGCAACGAGTTAAGCCTCTCTCTAGATCTCAAGTATTGTTATTGGTATTATCAGCCTGAAAAGGGAAGAACAATCAATTAGTGATTGGGTGGTCCACTAATATGGAATATTGGAGAGAATGGTTAGTTGCCACGCATAATGCAAGTCAAGGTAAAGGGAGCTATAACAAATGTTAAGCTGCCTGACCCAGACATCATTCTCTTTGGCTTAATTTCATAGATGGGCAACTTGTATATTTTGAAAACTCTTCAATTTGTGTCATTTGTTCAACTGTTTGAAACTCATTCCTCTGTTCTCTTTAAAAGAAGTTAGTTTGACTCAGTTCTGTTAGTGCCTAGATTTTCAGGCTGGTCCCTCTCCTTGTGACTATAAAATCACACATTCCATTCCAAGTAAATATCTGCTTCATATTTCATCTTCAAAGGTTTAACATTTTGGATATTCATTACAAATATGGAAGGCCACATCTGGGACTTCCTACTAGAATTTCTTTCTGCAAACATCAACGTGTATGAAGCACTGATGACTTGTCCCATGGTAACATAAACAATAAATTGTATAACTACCCTCAGTTTGGTCATAAGAGAAAATTGCTCAACAAACACACATACCGCTTTTCATACCTTACCTGGAAAGAGGCTTTATTGAACATTGCTGTAAAATTATCTTTTATGTTGAATTATTGATTTTGCACAAACATTTCTACAGAATTAAAAAAAAAATCAAGCCTTGTCATTTTCCACTACATTTTGTTGTGCTTTTTATATTAATAATTGCAAATGTTATAATTTAATACTTATATCCAAATTACTTGCATAATCATTTTTTTAATCCTGGGGTGTTGAGAGAACATAATAGTATTCTTCTTTAGACAAAAGTCTTTTTAAATGAAGGTAATAGCTGAGATAATTTAAGGAAAAAGCTCTTCAAATTTTCATAACCAACGGGTTTAAGTGAAATTTACAATGCATTGGAAAACTGGCTGGTTAAAGGTATGGTTTGTCCTCAGGTAGCTCAAAATCATTTTTACAGGTTTTTGTTTTTTTGTAAAAGTGGTTTTTTTTTTAATCTTGTTAAAATAATAAAATAATATTTCACAATTTTCACAGAGTCTGATGAAAGGGCAGAGGCATATTAGTTACCCTCAGTGTTTCCAATGAAGCCAGAATTGTCAGGCCCCGTCCGCTGTGGCGTTTGTATGCACTGCAACCACAAAGATTTTCTTGTTTCCTCTAAAGCAAGAGCCAATTCCATTTCAAATGGAGGTTAGAGGAAGAAATCACTTTTGCGTTTTACCACCTTCTGCGCTACGTGCTTCCTTACCAACCTTTTGCTCTGGTTGACCCATTGAATAACCTGGAAGAAAAAATGTTGCTCCCGTGTCTGGTCTCAATGGAAGTTATTTTCTGAATGGATAATCAGCGGAGAGGCCATGGCTGTCTAGAAGGTTCAACAACAACTATCTTGTCTGCATGGGCTTACGCAACAGCTTCGGTCTTTTCTTCTGCAGAAGCGGCTTTGTTGTCTTGCCTGTAATTTGCACATTGAGGCTCTGTCGTTTGTTTAGAAAATAGTTTTACACAAACCGCTCTCAGCAGTGCAAGCTTCTGAGTTGAAAATTAGTCAGGCTTGTTTCATTGAAGGCACTTGGTTTCCATGGCAACTTATAAAAGACGGTGGTTTGGTTTCTTCATCGGATCGGATGACTTCGTTTGGGGGTGTAAGTGGCCGCAATCAAACTCCGATAGGCCTGTGTCATAAGTAAGCCCAGGTCCACCACCCTGGAGCACGGTGCATGCACAAGGAGACAGGTTACAGCTACCTAGCTCAGCCATGGGAGGACGGAGGAGGAGAAACGAGGAAAAAGGTGGCAGGGGGAGGGCGGGGAGGAGGACACGGCTGTTGTGAATAATTCTGAGTTCAGGTTATTTTCAAGGAGTGGGCCTACGTTTATTCAATTCTCTGCGTAAAACCTTCTGGAAAGGAAAATAAATGCAAGCTCTTCAGGTACCCTGTTTACAGTGAGGTTTTTGTTGGCAGGCCATTAGGTTTCCATGGTAACAAGCAAACTATTCATTTGAAACAAAACCAGCCATGACTTTGTGCTTTGACAAGGATTTCTATAGCTCTCTCTCTCTTTTTTTTTTTTTTTCCAGAGTTCAACGAGATGCTGCTGCAATCTTTTTTTAGCCACAAAAGCACCTGAAGATCTCTTCTCTACTCAGGTCAAAATGATCATTTTTTATGCAGTTTGGAATAAGTTATACTTCCACGATGTCTTTTTATCCCCAGTGCTTAAAAAATTTTGTTCCTATTATTTTATTTTGAGTCAGTAGTCAGTGGAGGAATCTTTGGTAGTTTGTTTTGGCAATGTCCATTTACAAAGACTCTTTCTTCATGCCCGTGCCTGGTGAATCTTCTATAGCCTCTGCCAGGATGAGGTCACCTTCGAGGACTTAAGATCGAGATGAGGACGATGACTGGAAAAAGCCATATATGTACTAAAATCCCAACAGCACCGTCCACGGAATCTAAAGATAAGTAAACGCAGAGAGAGAGAGAGAGAGAGAGAGAGAGAGAGAGAGAGAGAGAAGGTAAACATCCCAGACAACTCAAAAAGAGACATATATATTGAAGACACTTTTAGAAAACGTTTTTGTTTTTAACTTCATTGCTAAGTAAAAAGGAAAATAACTTGACTATATGATTAGTTATTTAATTTACATATTTGAAGACTGTAAGCTGATAAAACTTGCTAGAACAGAAAAGAAAAAACCTCGTATAAGTCTATAGTTCACTTCAACCTTAGAGTTCTAAATACATTCAATATGCACACGATTCATAAAAATTTTTAAAGTTCAGCTTCTGCATTTTTTTTTTTTAAGTTGCCAAAATGTTTAACCTTGAAGACTGTGAAGAAACCTGCTCGAGATGAAGACTGAGGAGTGATCCTTAGGGTAGAGAGATGAATGATTGCAACCAGTGGATTAATTAAGTTTAGATCAGACCACTTTTTATAAATTAAAAAATAATTCTCTCTTTAGCATGACTTTGAAGAAATGCCATGAAGCTCAGAAATCTCTTGCATCCTTCTGCCTTGAGATTTTAGTAGAGTTGTATCTGAGTTACAGCTTCACACCCAAGAGCACCCTGGGAGTGCACGACTGATTTAGGAGAACTAATACAGGCATGCTCAGTAATGCGATCACCTGGCTTAAATCACCAGGTGGTTCTCACACAGGAGCAAACTGAACTCTGAAAATATGACACAGAATCTCGGATTTGGAATCTACACATTTGTAGGATGATGTATAATAAGAAAACAACCTTAATATTCATCAAACACCACTCATCAAAATTCACTTGATAAAGATATTGTTAAACATATTGATAAAATGTAACAGAACATGTCCCCAATATAGTACAGAATAATTTAATTAATACGTGTTGATGTATCTTATTTAAAAGGCATATGTCTCCATTTTTATTAATTTAAGGATAGAAAATTAATTGTGAATAAGTTAGACTAAGTTAAATATGTGAAATATTCAATTGTGTGATAATAAAGTCTTAGTGTTTTTGTAGTAATTCCTTAATGGGCACTCCCACTTACTACTCAGATTTATCCTCTAATTGATGAATTGTGTAGTGTGTTTTACTCTTTTAAAGGTTTAATTAAATAGAATTGAATTGATAATATTTTCAGATACTAAATTACAAAAATGAAAAATCTTTATATAACATGGTAATTACCTCTAGTTAATATGCTTTTGCCACTGGTTCATGTTGTGAAATTCTATAAGAATATCATTCTCTGTCTCTGGAGAGTGCATGTTTTTCTGTGCATTACAAATCATTTGAGTGTAGCTACTGGGTTTCTAAAGCAAAATTACTGAGACCCAGGAATACATAGTCACTAAATTTGTTATTTGAAATGCTACGTGTAATCGCAGAAAGGTAAAAAGCTATGAGCAAAAGAGCTCATTGTTCCAAATAATCTTCGTTTTTGTCTTTCTAACAATGCTTTAAAAATGGAGTCAATTCTGTTCATCTGAGAAATCACTGGAAGTTGTACCAGTTTGACTTCTTCCTTCAATACTTCTCATTAAATAACTTAAATTAACAAATACTCTGGTTTGTTCTAATCATGTGGCATGTTTTTTCTTATTTTTTTGTTATGTGCAAAGCAACCAAATAGGTGCTAAGAGTAAGTTTATGTTATTGGCATCTCTGTACTAGCATATAATTAAAGATGCTTGTCAGTGCTAGGAATATCCTTGAATGGTAAGATGTTTTAGTAGGAATGCTTTGCAGATAACATTAAACCACAATATTCAAACCACAGCAAAATGTCAGGACCCAAATTAATAAACAAGATTGAGGTGCAGGTAGAAGGAAATTAAGTATATGTGAAAATTCAAGGCACTTCATCACTTAATATATATGCTAATGTCTTTAACAATATGTAATCTGTAAAAATAGTAGGCAAAACTTAGATCTAGAAAATATATCCATAAAATGTTTGGGGAGGTAAAAACAACTATGCCTATGAGAATTTCTACTTAGTACACAAGTCCACCCAATATTTAAAATATAATAAAAAACCCCAACATAAATAAAAATAATATTTCAAAAATATTAATTCAAAATCAAAATGTTTTTGCCTTATCTAGATGTAAATCTGAGTCTAACAATTTTTACTTTAACTTGGACCAAATATACCTACAGTCAAATAATACTTTGATTTTAAAATACCTTCAAAATTTTAATATTTCATATATAAGAAATTCATAATAAACGAAGTAAAAGTGACTGCTTTTCTTTTTAAGTGACGTGATGGTAATGTAATATTAGATACTTTAACATCACACCAAACTCATCTCGAGAAAAGATACTTACTCTTAGTTGTTAGGTCTTGTTTTGTACATTCTCCTTCTGAAATAGACACATCATCAATGGCGATGTCACCTTCTATTCCAGGACCTCGAATACCTTCAAAAATGAGCTACAAATATGAATGAAACAGATCTAAATGTAGATCACTGTGTGTAGATCAATTTCTATTAAGAAATTGAGAAGGCAAAAAAAATCGTCAATTGTTCTGGCATATTTTAAACTTAATGGTTCAAAATTGTTACTTACATAAACAAGAACACCCCCCACCTCCAAATAACACCACCAACATTCTCATAAGAAAACCAATAACGAGCTCCTCCTTCGAGAGCATTTGCTTCCACATCCAAGTTCTGTGTTGGTTTGGAAACAAAACTGAACACAATGGATTAACATAATCAAAACAACAAGAACCAATCCTACCACTTCCCCATTGCAATGGGGAAGCAAAATGCTGCACGTGAGCAGCTTTCATCTAAAATAAGTTTATTCCAATTTTCTTTAAGATTATATCCTAAAATTAGTATTCCGGGGTGGAGGGGGGGAAGCTTTTATTGTGGTCATTTATTTATCTACAAAACTCTCACATAATTTTTATTTGAGCAGTTACTATGAAAATTAAGGCACTGATTAATACAAACCACAATAATTTATCTTTGTTTTTTGCATAGATTTTGTATATTTGTAAGGTTTGGGGATGATTTTCCCTGGTCCTTGCTTCTCAACCCTGAAAAAATTCACACAGCAGGAACACTTTTATACGTCCACAACATTTTTATAAGGGACAAGGCTGTTTCGGGTGATACAGTCCCAGATGGTATTTCTGGAAAGTGGGCAAAGCTGCAAGGGGGGCTGTGTGAGGGGTCACAACCTTAATGTGGCCACTTCTGAGGTGTGCAGAAAATATTGTGGTAATTTAAAAAAAAAATAATGTACCCATTCTGGGTCCTTTTTAGTGGTAGTTAAAAGCTGAAGGCCTGGCCCAGCGTTGGCCACCTTGCAGACAGATTGAATAGTTGTCTAATATTCCCTGTATTTACTTGTGATTTGCTATTTTTATTTCACTTTTGATCTTTTTCAGATAGGGAAAGCTGTTTATGGGCACATTTATGTTACCTGTCTGATGGCAGCCTGAATTTCCTGTATCTAGAATTTCCTGACTTGGTGTATGAGTGTTGAAAGAATAAATGAAAGAAGTCAGATTCCCTTTAATACAAAAGTTATTACTAATATTATCAATACATGTTGGATACAAGGACAATTATCATTTTAAAAATTATTCATTATTACAGAAATGAGGCTCTTCTATAATCTTCATTTTCCCATACCTTCAGCAAAAGCATTTTGATTCATTTCATACTGAAAAAAAGACGGTGCTAGGCAACTTAGACACTGACGGGATCATAGTTATAGAGAAACATCTACATCTCAAAAGAAAACCTCTCCTTCAGCCTTTCCAAAGATCAATTAGTATAATAAAGAAATGCTTCTAACATCATCCTGATGTATGGCTTATTATATAATTTCCAGTCTTGTTTTATTGTAACAAATTTGAGTGAAATTCAATTATCAATAAATGCCAATGCATTTGATTTTATCTTTTAAAGCATCTTCATATGGCTTCCTAAAGGCAAAGCTGAGGTCATTGTTACCTTTGAGAGATTGGCCTATGTTCTCTCATGTGTTACTATAAATTCACCATGTCCAGATTGTATACAGAGGCATTAGTAATCAATGTTTTATACTGAGCTTCTGCCCCCAAATCTATAACAGCTGGTCAGATATAGCATTATTTTAATGATTTTGATAGATGTAAAAATATTGAGACGTTTCATAGACTATGCCAGGAGGGTTTCCTGCTTATCCGTATTGAAATAAGTATGCTTATGTCTGATGTTTTTTCTTCAAAACACATAAAACACATCACATCATCAGTGAAGTTAAAACAACCTGGCAGACAAGCAAATCAGCAGATTTTAAACTCTCAGCTTTTCGATAAAAACCACAAGGAAACCCTACTGAGGCTTCCTGGAAATTGTGATTTGTGTTGAAGCTGGCATGGTGTTTGCGAAAGTCTGTGGGAGGCAGAAGGAACTCTCAGAGGGCTGTTTACATTTCCCTGATAATCTGAATGAGGATTTCAAGCAAAACAAATGAAGCCAACAAGCCATACAGCACATAGCACAGAGAGTCAAGAATGGTGAATACTTTTAATGACTCTAATGATGGCAGACTCCGCTACATCAATAATCTAACACAATTCATTTATCTACTACACTTATGTTACATTTAAGTTGTTTTTCCCCTTTATTAACAAAGTTGAGATGCATACATTCATATAATGATTATAGACACTTAACGCTCAGAATTTTTAAGGTCCTTATAAATTTTTCATAGAAACACTAAATCTGTGAAATGACATTATCTTGTTCTTAAGTCACAGTGGGTTTTCCAGTTATTTGGATGTACTTTCCCTTTTGAGAAATACTGGCTATCTTTAAAAAAAAATTAACAGTTTTATTGAGATATAATTCATCTATCATACCATTTAATGGTTTAAACATTTTTAAAATGTTGTGCACTCATCACGACCATCAATTTTAGAACACATCCATTTTTTTGTACTCATTATTGTTAGTTCCCTATCCCCCATCCCAACTCCCTGCCATAACAAGAAACTATTAAGATAGTAACTCTCCATAGACTTTCCTATCATAGACTTCATATAAAGAAAATCATTACCCCAGACAATCCCCCACCCCAAAAAACCACAAACACAACAATAATAAAGTAAAACAAAGAAAACCTTCAATCACAAAGAAAACAGAGAATTGAACTGTCAGTAGGCAGACAATCATTGACTCACATCAATGCTCCATATGCTGTAATAAGATGTCTATTATTCTGACAAACCTGTGACTGACATTCTCAGTGAATACTATTGTAAGTTTTCTCTTACAACCAACTGTCATGGTTTTTGTAAATAGCATCCAGCCATGAAAGGATTTACCCTGTACAATGTGAATGATTCAGGTATTGCAACATTGGGCTAGCCTACTTCATTAGCACAATGTCCTTCCTGCTTCCAACTCTGTTTTACAAATTAGTCTCAGGGGCTAATCAATGACAACATTAATGGAAGATCTTTATGTCCTAGGGAGAGGAGTGATAAGACTCTGGGACATAGATTAACAAGAAGGTCTCTAAAGGGAGGCAAAGGCAAATTCAAAAAAAAAAGTCATAGACCCAGGAATGGGTTTTGGGCTTGCACAAAATCTTAGCTCCAACTTAAGAACAAATTCGTTCTTCCATCATGACCCTGCTCAATACCCACACTCAGGAAGGGGACACAGAAGATATGCATGCTATAGCAAAGTGTGGTGAAGAAATTAGATGGTACCCAGCTATCTGGGGTCCTAAAGGCTTGTTTTCAAATCAGCAGCCACATAAATGAGATGTTAACTAAGTCCACATGGAAGAAGCACTCCAACATCAGTAACCAAAGGATTGAAAACCATATAATTGGTAGCTGAAAGAGGAAAAATTATGAGAGCCCAAATTGCGAGATTCTGATTTGTCGAAGGCTATGGATGACAGTGGGAGCCCATGTGTGACATTTATACAAAAAAGTACGCCTCCTTGACTTCTCTCTATACATCATGGAGGGATGGGAATAAACTGGGGCATTGAAGAGATGACTATAGGAGACCACAATGATAAAGCTGACTTGAACAGTTAAAACCTTGTCATGTGATCCCCACAATACACCTGGGGCTTTATTTGGTTTTCCACATTTTTCTGTTTCTTCATATTGAGGTTTAGCTCTGATGTAGTTTGTCATTGGGGTTAGCTTTCTACCATTTTTCTTACATGTTTTTCTGTTTTTGACAAACCTATAGAGACAGCAAGTAGAATAAGGGTTCCTAGGCAGTAAAGCAGGGGAGGATTGGGGGTGAAGAGGGGATAATACCAAGGAGTTCAGGAGGAAAGAGAATGTTTTGAAAGTGATTGGGGTAGCAATTGTACAATACTGCTTGATGTTATCGGGTTATGGAATGATATGATAACAACCAATTTAAAATGAGTCAAAAGGGAGGAGAAATGATAAGGTATTACATTTTAAACTAACTCAAACCAAACTCACTGCCATCAAGTTCATGCTGACTCATAGTGACCCTTGTGGGTTCCCGAGACTGTAACTGTTTATGGGACTAGAGAGCCCAGTCTTTCTCTGAGCTGCTGCTGCTGCTGGTTTCCAACTGCCGACCATGCCCAACGATGGCAGCCCAACATGTAACCACTAAGCATATCTGTATTAATCCACTCTTCAATGCACTCTGTCTGACAGCAAGGCTACTCTCATCCTGGTCTGATAGCAAAGCGAGTCACATCCCTGGTCACTGGTCGGTCACAGGGGATTCAAGGGCTATTAAATCCATTTGGGGATCCTGAAAATGGAATTTAGGCTTTCACTGTCATCCATAGACTTTGGTAAACTGGTTACTCAGAATTTAATCTCTAATACTTTTACCTACCTCAGTCATGGATTTCATTATTTTAAACCCTGGGGCTTTCTACTCCTGCAAACAGCATAAACAGAGCGTTGGCAACCCATAGGGAGTCGCTCTGAGTCAGTATTGACTGGATGGCAGTGAGTTTGGTTGGGGTTTGGGTCCCACAGGCTGATGTGCTCCGTATTTCCAGGAACTAGGAACCCTGGTGGGGTCGTGCATTGAGTTGGGATGCTAGTCAGAACCCAGCAGCTGCTTTGTGGGACAAAGATGAAGCTTTGTGTTCCCCTAAAGAATGACAGCCTACTGTGTCCTACCTGGAAAAGGTGAGTCAGAACTGACTCGGTGGTGGTGAGTTTGGGTTTGTGATTTGGCTTTTCTCCTAGAGACTCAATGTCAGAGTAAATGACTATTCTCATCAGCCTCCTTTGTAGTTTCAATCACGTGTTTCTGACTTTTCTTTCCTGAGGAGCGCAACATGAATGAAATGAAGAAAGAGTGGGGATGTGTCAGGCAGGAACACTAGTGTAGTCAAAAGGAAGTTTCTTCAGGCAACCAGAGTTTTCATTTCCAAAGATGGAAGTGCGAAGTGGGCGAATTG